AGTCCTGTCCCCCCACCCGCCCCTCCTCCCTCGGACCCCGGAGTCCAGGCCCCAGGCGCCTCCTCCCTCGGACCCGGGAGTCCTGGCCCCCGGGCACCTCCTCCCTTGGAACGCACGTGTCCAGGGCTCTAGCTTCCAGCCCTCAGGATCTAGACCTCAGAATGTGTGATCCTGGCCCCAAGCCCTTCCCCTCAGGATCTGCCCTGGGATCCAGTAGTCAAGGCCGCTAGCCCCCAGAGGCCCAGGGGCCTGGCCTCCAGCACTCACCACAGCTGTAGCCGCCTCCAGCCCCATGGAGCCCCAGCTCAGGACCAGAACCAGGAGACTCATCACTGTCATCCTATAAAGGGGGAGGGGATTGGACTTGGGGTTCCGGTTTCTTATTCTCCCTGCCTCACCCCTTCCCTTCCTCCACCCCAAATCCCCATCACAGCCCCCCTTCCCTCCAACCGTCTGGAGCCTGGAGGATCAGAATTAGGGGCAGAGAAACTGGGGGGGAGAGGCTGGGGGGGGAGTGCAGGTTGTACATCTGTGGTTCATGACGTCAAACTGAACATCTGGCTGCTGCCCGGGGTGAGGGGGAGGACAGTGAGAAGGGCCCCGGGCTGGCAAGCCAGCACCCCAGGTCCCAGCCCAGCTATGCCCCTGCCTTGCTCCGGGATTTCGGAAGCCGCTTCTGGACTCTGTTTCCTGGCCTTGAAGCCCCAGGAGCCCCATAACCCCCAAGCCTGCCTCCCGGGTTTGAGCACAGCTGGGTCAGCCTCCTGCTGTGTCCAGACTCCTCCTCCAAGGAGCGGGGACCTGGCCAGGGTTGAGACTGTGGCCTGGGTTTGTCTAGGGCTGGGGTCTGGGGGTGAGGGTTAGCCCTGGAGGGTTGGCACCGTCTGTAAGCCTCGGGGGGAGACCGCACAGGGCAGCAGCCCTTGTCACCCGGGGTGGGTATGGAGACTGGTGAGCCCAGCAGGGTCCCTGGAGGCAGGGAAGACTCAGGGGCTCCTCTGATTGGGATAGGCCGGCCCTGAGGCCACACCAGCTCCAGCACTTCCGGGCTGTGTGGCCCTGAGCAAGCGGCCCAACCTCTCTGAGCCCCAGTCTCTCCTGTGTCAGATGGGGAGAGGGAAAGCCTCTCCTCACAGGGTCAGCGTGTGGGTTCCAGAAGAGGGGGCTGGCTGCATAGAACACCCCTCTAAATAAAGCGTGTGGTACTGAGATTCCCGTGAGCCACACAGTGGCCACGCAGCCTCGGAGGTGGTTGCCTTCTGCCCCGGGTCCCTCCGTGTACATCAGGCGCCGGAGGGGCCCCTCATTCACCGGTGGTTGTGTGTGCACCCCCATCCTCAGCACAACCATTGCGGGCTATTTTCTAGGATTTGGGGGCACTTGGGTGGCCTCAAACCCTGTGTTTCCAGGTGTGCCCTGGGCCTCCTGGGCTGGTCCAGGCCGGGTCTCTCCGTCCGTGCTGGCCCAGCCGGGACCTCCAGGCACGCTTGTGGGGTGGGGAGCGAAAGCAGCTCAAGGCTGGGAAGGTCCCCCCGCAGGAGCGCCATGGGATGGAAAGAGGTGCCCTCGTGCTGCGAGGTGAGCCTGCCTCGGGGTCGCCCGCTCTTACACGATCACCAGCCACTTGCTCTGCTTCGCCAGGCCCAGGAGTGTGAAGAGACACACCAGCAGCTCCAGCAACAGCAGGAGGACGTACGCCAGCCACCTGGAGGAGGGATGAACGCGAGACAGATCCAGCCCCCAGCACCCCAGCTCCCAGCCCAGGACTCGGCAGAGCGGGATGGCCCCCCGACAGTCACGCCCTGCTCTACCTGACCCTGCGACCCCCGGCTGCCGGGCCTGGCTGCAGCCGGCTCAGTATGAAATGGGTGCGCCGGGAGGCGGGCTGGTTCAGGGCTCAGGTCCCGGGGCGCCTAAACCCCCCCCCCCACGGCAGCGCGGAGGCCCTGTAACCAGGCACCAGTGACTGGCCTCCGGAGCCCCACCTGCCGCGGCCTGCAGAGTGCGGGGAGGCCTTCCCAGCCGTGCACTGAGGCTCGGGGCCAGCCTCTCTCCCTCCCAGCTGCACGCAGCCCTGTCTCAGGGACTTTGCCTCCTGTGCCTCGGTTTCCCCGCCTGTCCCGTGGGGGGAGAACAATAGCCATACTCCAAGAGGTTGTCCTGAGGCTAGTGGAGGAGCACTTAGAAGGCCGCTGAGCGCGCGGACACACTTAAACGTGGGCTCAGACGTCAGCCAGGGAACTTCAAGTGTTATGTAGTGAGGTGCCGAGGACTGGTTCACTCTGATGCAGTGCTGGCTCTAAGTGAGTGCTCGGTACACAGCATCACGCGGTTGTGCGGCTGTGCCGAGGCGGGAGCACCCTGCTTCTCGGGGAGGGAGCTGGGCCGAGTGGCCCTGGAGGCCTCCAGGCCTGTGCTGCCAGTGTCCTCACTGCACACGCACACGGCACACACCGCACGCCACGCACCACACATGCACATCACACACTGCACACAGCACATGCACACAGCACACACTGCACATGCACATCACACACAGCACATGCACACGGCACACACCACACATGCACATCACACAGCACACAGCACATGCACACGGCACACACCATGCACTACACATGGCGCACGGCACACGTACACGGCAGCTCCACTCTCACCCCGTCAGGGCAGCCCAGCCTTCTGCCCTAGTTGTGCTGCTGTGAACTCCTGCTCAGCCTCCAGGAACTCTGCCAGGAAGCTCTCCCTCCAGGGGCCCCAGTTCCCTTGCAGGAAACCGGCCACCTTCACTGAGGAACGACTCTCAAGTGCTAGGCCCTCTCACGTTGATACATCCGGATGTTTCCTGGTGGTGGTGGGCCTGCCTCACCCCGGGGGGGGCCTGCACAGCTACCGGGACCCCGGAAGGGAGCTGAGGCCTGGCACACGCGGCCTCTGGGCTTAGCCACAAAGCAGAAGTGTCCTCACTGGGACCCAGGCCCGTCGGACGGCCCAAGGGGCACCCCCGCCAGAGTGCTTCCGCCCTGGTCCGCCTCCAGCCCGGAGCTCAGGGCCCTCAGAGGTGCTGGAGACACAAGAGAAAGAATCCCCAGCAGCAGAAGCAGCGAGGACTCCATCGTGTTGGCTGCTGGGAAGGGTGGCCGGCCCAGAAGTCTGCATCATCTGATCTGTCCCTCCTTCACGTACCGCAGTCTCCGTGTGGCCCCCCCAGGCCCAGCCCCTGCCAGCGCACGCTCCCACTTCCAGCCTGTCCCCAGCCCAGCCCCGGTTCCTGCTCCGTTTCCTGCGAAGCTCTCACCACCCGCCACCTTAGAGAAAATGTGTTGCTCATGTGCGTGTTTCTTATTGGCCCCCTTACTGGGAGATGGGCAGAAACTGCCGTCTGTTTTATTCCTTGCTCTGTCTTAATAAAAACTTACATTTTTACAGACAACTGTATAGGATGTGCTATTGTAAACACTCAACTGATATGGACGCGTCTAGTCCTCAATGATCCGATGAGGGGAACGCTATCCATTGTTCCCATTTTACAGATTGGGACACTGAGGCACAGAACCAGTGAGGAACTTGTCACACAGTTAGGGAGTGGCGCTCCGGCTTTAGAGCTCCCGTTCCCAACCACTTGGGCACGTCTCTCTCGCACCAGAAGGTGTAAATAAATATGTGTTGAGTGGGTATACGTGTCAGACGGATGGATGACTGAGGAAGAGTAGAGTCGGTCTGGGCGGGAGTGAGTGGACGAATACCTGGGGGTGAGGTGGCATGGGGCGGCTCGGTCCATCTGTGTCCCAAGGGTTCTCAGCCTGGGCACTACTGACACCTGGGACATCGTAGGACGCGTCGCTGGTCCCTGCAACCAGGTGCCAGTAGCGCCCCGTCCCCCAGTGTGACCACCAACACATCTCCCGACCCGGCCTGATGTCCCCTGGAGGTACAGTCGCCCAAGGTGAGAGCCCCCGCGCACAGGGCAGGGGAGAGCGGTCACCCACCTGTACTCCTCCACAAAGGACACATCTTCGGCCACTTGCAGGGGGCTCAGGGGCACTCCCCGCCAGAAGGCCAGCCCCTGCAGCTGCTGGGCCACGGCCTCTGCCTGCCGCCGAGCACCCCGGGCGGCAGCCACCAGCTCGGTGCGCTGCGCGAGCACCTCCTCCAGGCTGGTCAGCTCGGTCCTCACTGCCTCGCCCAGCCTCTCCACTGTCTCCAACACCTGCGTGCAGGGGTGAGTCTGGGGTCAGGGGAGGGCATTCTTTGGGAAGGCCGGGGTTGGGGACGGAGTTGTGGGGGTGAAGCAGGGGTGAGCAGTGGGGGGTGTCAGAGATCTAGGGGCTAGGACATCTGTTGAATGAGGAAAGGAGGGAGGGTACAGTTCTGTGGCCTCCATCAGGAGCCCTGGGCGGTCAGGGGCTTGGGTCCCAGATAGAGACCAAGTATGAACGGGGGTCTGGGTTTGAGCCCCGTGTTCCAGATCTGGGTTAAGGCCCTGGGTGCAGCCAGGGATAGGTAGGGGTCCAGGTGTCCAGTCTGAGGTCCACAAGTTGCAACCTGAAGTTCTGAGTCTGGGGTCCTAAGTTTCAGGTGTGGGTTCTGAGGTTGGGTCCGGATTCTCTGGGAGGTGGCCCTGTGTCCCGGTCTGGGGATCCGGTCTGGGTGGGGGCGGGGCTGGGGTCCGCTGCCCGGCCCCTCACCAGGTGGTCTATTGCGCTGAGCGTGTGGTTGGCATGCAGCAGCGCAGAGCTGAGCTGGGATACCCCATCACTGGTCTCGCTGTTGCCATAGAAACCGATGCCAATGCCAGCGCTGAGAGGGGAAGAAAAGGGAAATCACAACGTGTCCTGGGACCCTGGGGGCTGCGTCCCCACCCCCACCTCCTCACGCGCCCAATCCCGGCTCCCACCCCCGCCCCATTGGTCCAGCCCGTCGTGGGAAAGGAACGTCTCCAGCCTGGCCCCCACCGGTTGCCAAGGTGACGGGAAGCCCCCCCCTCCCCCAACAGGGACGTCATTGTGATGCTAATGGTGGGTGGAGTGGGGGGGACAGATTTAACCCGCACCTCACTGGAGCAGAACCCCCATCACGCCCACCCCCAGGAGAATTGCTCCCCCCCCCAGGACTACTGGCCCCACACCCAATCCCCATCCTTCCCTCAAGCATCCAGACAGGAGCACCTGTCCCTTCAGGGTCCCACCGTCCCTTCCCCACCTGCTGCTGGGGGATCCTAGGAGTGCAGGGCCCCAGTCATCATCTCCTGGGGGGCCCCCGAGCTGAGCCTGGAGCTCCCCGCCTTCCCCCAGCCCCGGGACCCAAGCGTCTGGCCAGCTGGGAGCGAAGCAAGAGAATGTGGGCTGATGGGCCAGAAGCCTGCGCCCCCGCCCTCCGCGGCCGGCACACAGAGCTCCATTGTGGGGTCTGAATGTGGGCCCATCCTCCCCTCAGTGTCCCTCTGCGCAGGGGCCAGGCCGGACAGGGCGGAGGGAGCCAGACGCCCTCACAGTTCCCAGCCCAGGGATCCCACGCCCGCCCGGGCGCCCCCGCCCATTGTTCAAGGTCCCACAAAGCTGCTCTTGTTCCCAGGCCGCGGGGGCCGGCCGTGTCTCTCCCCCACGGGGCCTTTGTCCACCGCTCCCGTCCACCCCCACTCAGGAGAGCCCGAGGACGAAGCATTTTGGATATAGGACGCCCACCCCTCCTCCCCCACAGACACCCCCAAACACATTCTGCGGCGAGGGGGTGCGGGACAGCCCTGCCCGCCACTCCCCAGCCGGGTTCAGGGCAGGCCTTTCGGATCCAGGCACCCTAATCTGGGGAATAGGATGGCTCTCCTGCACTGGTGGGGGTGGCGGGCGGCCAAGGCTGCACTGAGAGCTGCTCTTGCTAAATGGTGTGTCCTCAAGTCCTCCTGTCTTCTCTCCCCCCCCGCCCCCCCAGGGTCACAGAAGAGGGCAGGGGCTTGCGGCCCTACCACTAGGGTGACAGGGCCTTGAAAAGTTGCTTTCTGCCTCTCCCTCAGACTTGGCTTTTCCAACTTGGGCATGAGGGACCTGAATCCAGCCGGGTTACTGTGGGAGGAGTCAGACCAGCTCAGACCTGGGCTGCAGGCAGGGTCTGCGCTGGGACCCTGAATATATTCCTTTGTTGTCTGTCTGCCTGACTAGAACATCAGCCCCATGAGGGCAAGGATCTTGTCCGGCCAGTTGGATCCTGTCCTGGCACACAGTAGATCCCCAGGAAATAGTTGTGGAATGAATGAATGAATGAATGAGTGAATGAGTGAGTGAATGAATGACATCACCAGTCACCATTTACTGAGTACAACTGTGGGCCATGCACTGTACACGCTCTCATTTAATCTTACCATAACTAGGAGGTGGGGGTTACTGTAACGTCCATTTTAGAGATGTGGAAACTGAGGCCTGGAGAGATTATATCCCCTAGTTGCACAGCTATTCAGGGACAAGGCCACCGAAGCCTAGTTCTTAACCCTTGGCTCCTCCTTCAGGGTTGGCTGGCTTTGGGAGGTCACTCCTCCCCTCAAAACTCAGTTTCTCCCTCCGTATAATGGGAGCATCTCTTCCTGCTGCAAGGACACCCTCCGGAAGACTGAGCGCGAGTGTAGGGGACCCCGGCCCCGCTTCCCCACCCACCCTGGGGCCCCATTACCAGCCGACGAGAAGAGCGGCGATACAGCTCCAGGTGACACAGCCTCCCCCGGGTGGGGGGCTCTTGGGCCCAGGGGGCTCTGGGGGCCGGCAGCAGCAAAAGCGGATGAGGTAGACAGCAATGAAAATGAGGCTCAGGCCCAAGCCCAGGCCTGCCAAGGCCGCCACCAACAACAGGGCCTGGGGAAGGGAGAGACAGGCCTCAGGAGGGCTGGACGTTCTGGACGTGGGACTTCGAGGGAGGTGGACGGCAGCCCTGGCTAGACTGGGGGTCCAGCCCAGCCTGTGGTGCTCAGGTCTCAGGTGGGGTCCCCAGCTCCTCCCAGTCTGGGAGCTGAGGCACCTGAGGGAGCGTCCAACCGAGAGGCCCAAATCCTGGGTCCGGTTCCTCTCTGCGTGTGACCTTCATCAGGGGCCTTCTCCGCTCTGAGACTGTCACCTCCTCACCCCAGCCAGGCGGTTGGAATGGGTAGAGCATCTCCCAGGACCTGCTGAGACCTGGATCCGGAACCGGGTGGGATCAGGGGGGTGGACGGGGACGCCTGTTCCTGGAGACGTGTGCGAGGTAGGGGGTGGGCAGCCTTCCTCTTCCCTTCTCCTTGCTGGTCCTCCCCACTCACTGCGCGCTCTCCCCCCTGCTGCTGAGCTCTGCACACCCACCGCAGCGTGAGTCTGTCACCCAGGGACTCACGGGGAGGGGGCGTGACAGCCTCCATGACAGTGAGTGTGTGTGCAAGACTCAGAGATGGAGACTTGGAGAGTGAGAGACGGAGAGAGGGACTCAGGGAAAGGGGAGACAGGGAGCTGGAGGCATGGAGAGAACAGGTGTCTGTAGTTAGAAAAGCCTTTCCACCCAGGACCTCACGGCGGAAAGCCTTTCCACCCAGGACCTCACGGCGGGGGGGGGGGGCTGTGCACGCCTGTCCCCTTCACACGTGCCCAGAACGGGGCAGGGGTTACCTGGAGCCACCCAGCGCCATGGGGACAACGCCGGGAACAGAACCAGAGCTCCGGACTCACTAATGCCATCTCCTAGACACTACGGCGTCTCTGCCTTCGCCCCTGCAGTGTGGTGTGGGTGTGTGTGTGTGTGACACAAGCGTGTGGCTTGTTTGAGTTTCTGGCTGTGAAACTGGATATTTTATCTTTGACTGAGTTGGTCTACCATGAGATACTACACCTGAGTGTGTGTCTGTGAGAGAGAGTGCGTGTGTGAGCATCAGGATGTGTTTTTGTGTGAATATGAACAGGTGTGTATGTGTTATACATGTGTGAATATGTGTGTACATGTGTGAGTTTGTGTGTCAGGATGTGTGTTTGTGTGAATGTGAACATTGTGTACATGTGTGTTTGTGTGTCTGAGCGAGGGCAAGAATATGTGTGAAAGTGAGTGGGTGAGAATGTGTGAGTGTGTTTACGTGTGTGAGGGGTGTGTGAGTGTGTATGTATATGTGACTGTGGGGGGCGTGTGTGAGTGTAGAAGTGAGGGCAGGAATGTGTGTGTGAATGTGTATACATGTGTATATATGTGACTACGTGGGTGTGAGTGTGTCTGAGTGTGCATGTATAGGTAACAGTGTGAGTGTGTATACAGGTGTATAAGTGTGTGTATGTGACTTTGTGGGTGTGTCTGAGTGTGTGCGTAGGTGACTATACAAGTGAGTGTGTGAGTGTATGTACGTATATCTGGGTGTGAGGCTGTGTGAGTGTAAGTATAGGTGACTGTGTGTGAATACAGGTGAGTGTGGGGACTGTGAGTGAGTGCAGGGTGAGAGTGTGTGTGTATGTGACTGTGTGGGTGTGAGTGTGCCTTCCAGCTGTGCCCGCAGCGTGATCTCCCTGGGGGGCAGTGTCCCCTCCGGGTCTGTGTGACTCTGTGCATGTCCCAGGCTGTCACCCTGTCGATGACGGGGGCGGCGGCGGAGTGAGCCTCTCTGAGTGCCTCCGGCAGTGACTGGGGCCTGGGACGGGGCCAGCTACCGGTGCGGGGCCGTGTGGGCAGGTCTCCCCGGCCGTGCCGTGCGGGGGCGTCGGTGACCGCACCGGAGGTCGTGATTGTGTAAGCGTGAGGTGTGGGCGAGGGGCTGGCTTCCCCGATTGGTGGGGAGAGGGCGGCTCAGAGTGGGCAGGGAGGGGCTGCTCCCGGCTGGCACAGCCATGACCCAAATAGCTCAGAATACAGCACACATCCCCCTCTCTGCTTTTCTGGGACCCCCCACCCCTTCTAAGCTCTCCAATCCCCAGTCCGCTATCCCAGGAGCTCCCCCGCCCCCCCCAGATCCGAGGGGCCTGGACCCTCTAGGCAGGGCTCCCAGCACCCTCCTCCACACTCCCCCCACCCCGCCCCGGCCAAGCCTTGCTCTTCATTAATCTCAAAGTCAAGGATTCGAATTAAACTGGGTCAGGGGACAGTTCTTTCTCCCCTTTTTGGCGCTGACCCAGGCTGGGCCCCCTTCCCCAGGGACGGCCGCTTCTGTAAGGTGCCCGCCCAGCCCCACCCCCCGGACCCACTTCTGTCATCCTCTGGTCCCCAGACGGAACCTCATTTTCACCCCCACCCCCATGCGCCCCAGCGGCTGGCTGACCGCCCCTCCTGTCCTGGACCAGGAGTGGCTGGAACCTTCCTCTGCTGGCACCTCCACCTCCTTTCCCCAGCCCTGGCCCTGAATCCCTCACGCCCCTTGCCCAGCTCAGGGGTCAGTCCCGTCCTGAACCGGGACACCCCAGCCTTCCTCTCTCGAGTCGCACCTTAACCGGGACATGTTCACCTGGACGCGCCACCGTCTCAGGGGAGGGGTCATCGTTTAGGACACGGAGAGTGGGCCCGTCTCCCTGGTGACCCCGGAGCCCTCAAGTCGCTCGAATCCAAGGTGCCCCAGTCCCCCCTCTGGGGTGAGGGGTCCAGGCCCCCGCGCCCTCCCTTATTTAAGGAGCCGGGGCTCTGGCCTCCCCGCGCCCGTCCCAGGGGAACCTCCAGGTACGCGAGCCTCAGGCCCTCCGCTTTCGGACACCCCAAAGTGCGGGCCCGGGTCCCCCCGAGGACGGCACGGGACTGTGCACCCAGCCGCCTCCTCCCTCGGGACCCGCCGGCCCTGCCCACCCCCGCGCCCCCGCCTCCAGGACCCCGCACCCGCTCCCACCTGCTGGTATTCTTGCTCTTGGGGCGCGAAGCCGCTGGGTACCGGGCGGAGCTGGAAGTCGGCGCGGGGCAGCTGGTGGAGCAGATGCACCCAGGCGGAGGGTCGGTAGCCCGGGGGCGCCCCCATAGCCCCCGGGGGGCAGGGCGCGGCGGGACGGACGCCGGGGCTGCGGGAGCCTCGGCCGCGGAGCGGGGCGCGGGCGGAGCGGGGTCTGGCGGGGCTCAGGGGCGCGGAGCGGGGGGCGGAGACTGGGGGAGGAGGGGGGAGGCGCGGGCCCGGCGGGGACGGTGCTGCCCCCGGTGGCTGCCTGCGGGACTGCGGCGCCGCAAGCTGGGGCGGGAGGGGGCGCGCTCCGCCCCTCGGTGCCGGCTCCCACCCGTGGCGGGCGCGGGTACGCTCCGTCCGGGGACAGCCGTGTCCAGATGAGGCCCCCATACCGATATCGCCCTGCAGCGGCCTAAGGGTCCCTGACAGGCCTGTGCAAAGAGCGCTGAGTATTGGCACAGCATTTCCCGAAGAGCGGTCATCGCACCCATAAAACCCCTTCGTTTCTGTGTGGGAGGGTAGTCTCGCTTATAAAGGGTGCCATCTGGATACAATCCCCACCTTTGTAAGTCTGTATAAAAACACATCCTCTGTAAACAACGCTTCCCATGTGTGCAGACCATTCTAGAACGTATGCCTGCTCTTACCAGTGATAAGGACCCCTCCCACCCCTAGATAGAACCTGGCCCATCTCTCTAGGGACCCCTCCCCTCTTTGTAAGAATGCCTGACACGTGTGTAAGCACCTCTCCAAGCTCATTGAGGATTGCTTCGATGGACGTAAGGATTCCACCGACCCCTTCCATCCACCGTGCGGTTTACAGAGGATCTTTCCAGCCACTCTCTGTGCTGAGTCTCACAGGAACCCACTGATGCCACACTGGTTCGCGGGGACGTAGAGGCCCTTGGAGGGGCCCCGGCCACTTTAACATCACTGTCCGGCAGTCCCTGTTGCGGCTAAAACTAAGGTTCCCAGGAACCTGCCCCAGGGAACCCCCCCCAACCCTTGTAGAGCTAGGCTAGACTTTGCCCCGTGGGGTCCCCACCCCGGGGCCTCCCCTGCAAGGACTGAGATGGGCAGGAGGAAAAAGGGGGGGGTTGGCACCCCACCTAGGACTCTCATCCCGAGACTGTGCCCCAGAGTGGTGAGAAGGGCTGGGAGAGGTAGCTGCCCATCCCATTAATCAGAGAAAAGTAATGACTAGTGGTGATGGTGGTTATGGTGGTGGTGATGATGAAGGAGACAGAAGAATCAAAGTAGCTGCCCTCCTCTCTCACACACACACACTCACCATCATCATCATCATCATCATCATCATCACCATCATCACCACGGCCTGGTCTTCTCCAGCCCACCTCCATGTCCAAATCCAGTGGCTGGAGTTATCTCCTCAACCAGACTGGCTGCATGGGGCCTGGAGAGGGTGGCGTTCCTGAAATGAGAAGCCATGAGTTGTGCTAAGCGACCCCAGGCAAGTGATTTCTCACCGTGGAGTCTCTGCTGCCCTGTCTGTAAGATGAGCAGAAAGACGTGAGATTAGCCTGTCCTAAAAGCTTGTTGGATACCATCCACGGCCAATGTCTACGGAGCGAGCAGGACTTGCTAAGGGGTAGAAGAATTCCAAATTCCATAATGTGTGTAGTGGGGCCTGTGTATCTGTGGGTGGGGTGAGGGGGCCATTGTGAGTCAGCGACTCAAGAGCACTCAGTGGCTCCCTATTGCCTATCAGACCAAGTCAAACAAATTCTCTAAGTCCTGCTTTCCTGTCTCCCACCATCTGGCCTTGTGCCCATGCTCCCCATGCAGATCATATTTGAGGGTAGACGCTTTTCCAACAGCGGGACCTCAGCCACACTGACAAATACATCCTACAACGTGATCTGGCAGAAACACGCCGGTATATGTCCTTGCGAAGCGAAAAGTTTCCTAAACAAAACCGACCTCCTCTAAGCATAATGCTCTCCAATATTTTCTATATTTAGTCTATTTCAGAAATAAAACTCTGGTCACAACCTCCTAAATTTTTCATGACTGGCTAACAAGTCTTGACTTGCAATCATGAAAAACCACTAATCTTAAATTCCCGAGGCCCTTGCGGGTTGGTGTCGGAAAAGGAGTAACTATTACTAAAGTGGAGTAGATCATGTTGGCTTCCAAGGGGAGCTCAGCGCTTTGTTCCTGCACACCTCCCCCCAGCATGCTGCATGCATGGACACACACACACACACACACACACACACACACACACATACACACACACAGTTACATACTACTCCCTTTCACTCCCCTCAGAAAAGGGTTTGTTGGGGCGCCTGGGTGGCTCAGTCGGACAAGCATCCAACTTCAACTTCAATTCAGGCCATGATCTCACAGTTCATGAGTTCAAGCCCCGCGTCGGGCTCTGTGCTGACAGCTCAGAGCCTGGAGCTGCTTCAGATTCTGTGTCTCCCTCTCTCTCTACCCCTCCCCTGCTCGCTCTCTCTCTCTCTCAAAAATAAATATTAAAAAAAATTTTTTTTAAATATAAAAAGGTTTGTTGACTGTATGTCCCTCTTCCCCCCTCTGGCTCTTTCTCTTCTGTCCATTTCTCTGTCTCTCCCACACATGGTTTGGGTCCCACAATGGTCCCCATGCTTTAGGGGACTGGTTCTAGCCCAAGCCCAAGGGCACCCATCCCGGTCGGTGGAGAGCTGAGATGCTGATAGAAATCTGCTCTCTTCAACTTTCTCTTGCCTTTGCTCCCTGAGGCTGTTCCTCCTGGGAAAGGTAAACAGCTACTCCGGGTGGTCTCTGAATGCCACCCCGATGCCATCTCAAGCTCTACAGGTATTAATTCAGGGCTTGGGTGCCTGAAACCCCCCCCTCCACCACCACCAATGGAGGAGGGCTCAGAGTATGTAATTGTTCGTATCTACTGTCAGCCAATACTAGCGATCTGGGAAGAGGTCACAACACTGCCAGATGTTTCAAATTTCCAGGAGACAGAAACGTGGATATTTTTAAAAGCAAAATCCCTCAGCTCTTAAATGTTAAAACTAACTCAAATACAAAAAAAAAAAAATACTGTGTGGGCCAAATAAAACCTGTCTGTGGGTTGGAGCTGGCTGATTTATAAGCTCTGGGCTAGCCAGATGCTGAACAGCACCAGCAAGCAGAGGAAGGGGGCCCACGAAGAGGCTGTGGAGGAGTAGCCCAGAGAGGCAGGCAGGGAGCCAGAGAGAGGCAGCAATGCCACCTCCTCCACGAAGCCCTCCTGATTGATCTACATCTCTTGATAGAAGACCAGAGTAGGGCCTAGCTAACGGGATTCAGCATATAGCGCTGCCCATACTTAAACTCTTTTTTTTTTAATGTTTTATTTATTTCTAGGAGAGAGAGAGAGAGAGAGAGCGTGAGCAGGGGAGGGTCAGAGAGAGAGGGAGTCACAGACTCTGAAACAGGCTCCAGGCTCTGAGCTGGCAGTCAGCACAGAGCCCGACGTGGGGCTCGAACCCACGAACCGCGAGATCATGGCCTGAGCGAAAGTCGGACGCTTAACTGACTAAGCCTCCCAGGCGCCCCCTCATGACTTAAACTCTTATACTCCTCGGTTTAACAAGGTGGCTGAGTATATAGCATAAGAATCCATTCAGGTGGTGGTGTCCGACAGACAGAACCAGCCTGCGGGACCAACACTAATCAGAGAAAGGCTTACCTCTGAGAAGGTGGGAACAGGGCTTACTGGGAAGGGGCTAAAATGAAGGCATTGGGTTGGGTACCTTGGTAAGGGTTTGGGTTTCACAGGGATGTGCATTTGTGGTACATTCAAGATTTGTGCATTTCACCGCAAATGGTACCTCAAAAGAAAATAAGAATTCTAGCTAATAATATGCATGCTTAAGTATTGGGGAGGTGGCCAGGGGCGGGGACGGGGGTAGATAGGGGACTGTAGCAGGTCTTCAGTGTCCCTTGAAATGGATCAAAAAAGGAAATAAGAGGGGCGCCTGGGGGGCTCAGTTGGTTAGGCATCCTCCTTTGGCTCAGGTCATGATCTCATGGTTTGTGGGTTCGAGCCCCATGTGGGGCTTTATATTTGTTTTTTGAGACAGAGTGAGAGAGAGAGCACACAAGCATGAGTGGGGGAGGGGCAGCGAGAGGGGGACACAGAATCCAAAGCAGGCTCCAGGCTCCGAGCTGTCAGCACAGAGCTCCACGCCCGGCTCTAACTCATGGACTGTGAGATCATGACCTGAGCTGAAGTTGGATGCTTAACCCACTGAGCCACCCAGGTGCCCCTTGACAACGTTCAACTATACAATATGGTGTTGGTAATTATAGCCACTTGCTGTACATTAGGTCCCTAGCACTTACATCTTATAACTGCTAGTTTGTATCCTTTGACCACTTTCACCCATCCCCTCCCCCACCTGCACCCATACCAGCCACCAATGTGTTCTCTGTATCTAGGAGTTTGGTGTTTTTGATTCTACATGTGAGTAAGATCAAGTGGTATTTGTCTTTCTTTGCCTGACTTATTTCATTTAGCATAACGCCCTCAGGGTCCATCCATGTTGTTACAGATCGCCGGATTGCCTCCATTTTCATGGTTGAGTAATATTCCATTTCATATATATATGTTACACATGCACAGATATCGCTGAGTTAGTGGTTTTGTTTTCTTCCAGTAAATACCCAGAACGGAATTGCTGAATTGCCGGTATTTCTGTTTAATTTTTTGAGGAACCTCCACACTGTCTTCCAGAACAGCTGCGCCAATTTACATTCGTACCAACAGTGCACAGGTTCTCTTTTCTCCACAGTCTTGCCGACATTTGTCCCTAGGGTGGTGGTGGTGGTGGTTGTTATTTTTAAATTTTAGCCATTCTGATCTCATTGTGGTTTTGATTTGCATTTCCCTGATGATGAGTGATGCTCATGGCCTACTGGCAATCTGGATGTCTTCTTTGGAAAATTATCTACTCAGAGTCTTCCCATCTTATTTTTTTTAATGTTTAATTTATTTCTTTTTTTATTTTTTTAAATGTTTTATTTATTTCTAAGAGAGAGAGAGAGAGAGAGAGAGAGAGAGACAGCGTGAGCAGGGGAGGGTCAGAGAGAGAAGGAGTCACAGACTCTGAAA